TAGGTTATATTGCTTTATTTAGAACGGTTTGACAAAATACCCTGGGAGGCAACTCGTTATGTATACTGCGCTGCTAGCACACACTTTGTACTCTACTAGACCACCGATCACATAGGCGTCTCCTTTCATTGGAACTTATGCGAACTGAAGGGCAAAGGGGGAGCTCTCGGTCATAGAAGACTGCGAGCTGGCTCAAAGGATCGAGAGTCGGCCAAGCAAAGCGCGATTTGATTTGGTTTTTTTTGGAGGGGGGGGTGTTTGCAAAAAAAGGGGGTTAAGGCCCAGGTTGTTGGAAAGCATATCACGCCTGGATAGATAGATTGGCTTGGTAGCATTTTCAGGACATAATCGCCTGGCGTGATTTTACCTCAAATCAGACATGAAGCATTCTACCATTCAATCATCATGTAAATCTATAACCTAGGCTTCCTTAGTCATGCATTGACATCCGAGTGACAAAGTCGTCCCTAAAACCGTGCCTAACCTGATGGAAGAATCAAGGAGGTCCTCGGACTTGACCTGATGGACGGTGCAAGTTTGGGAACCATGTACTCTCTCTCAGTGCGGACTGCGGAGTAACTTCAGAATGATCGACACTGCAGAGGGGAAATTGAGGTACATGCGAGTAGTGAGCCATGTCTTGACTGTCCGACAAGTATTTGAAACAGCAGCAGACAAGTAATCTATCAGACTGAGTCTGTCCTGCAATGCGATGCGATGCGATGCGATGCAATGCGATGCGATGCAACGCGATGCAACGACGCCACGCAATGCACCGAGGCAAATCGCCGGTCGAGGCTTACCATGTCGCTCTGCGACAAAGAGAACGGAGCAAGTCTCTGTTCTGTCATGGCAAACACAAAACAGTGGTCAAGAAGCGATCTTTGTTCTCGAGGCTACTTCATAATAGGTGCTAAGGCGTACGCCAAAGCTATTGTAGACTCCGTTTGCTGTAGCGTCGCCCTGCCCGCTCCTTTGGAACAGCTTCACAATCAGAACGCCGCAGCGTGAAGAGAATGCAGAGAATGTTACCGCATTATCTACGAGTCTCCATTCCTTCATCTTGAACGGCTCAGCTGGTTTGGTTCGCAAGTTTTGCACATTATACGAGGCCGTAAAAATTCATTCGTTTCAGCTATCGCTAGCAGGGTATCGACTAGAATTGATCTGCGGCAACGTCAACACTTGAACTTGGCGCTCTAGGAGATTGCGATTAAGAGGCAGCAAAAAAGGTCCAACGGAGGCACTGCAAAGCTGAGAGGCGTACCTAATGTCATGCTCATTGAAACGTCCGTGTTCTCAACCATCTTTGTGAACTCCTCGAAGCTGATCTTCCCATCCCGATCCGTGTCTGCCTCCATGATTGTCTTATCCACGATCTGTCATAGTGCACCAGTTGTCAGCCGTCCATCAAATGCATAGATACCCCTCTACTACCACTCCGCCCCTAATGGGAAACACCTTCTCCATTCTTGACAAATGGCTGGGGTATATACTTGTTGCAATTGCATGTCCTTCAAATTGCTTCCCACCATCATTTTCAGTACAATGAACAGCTCCCCATTGCTAATGTATCCGTCGCGATCGATATCGTAGACCTTGAAGGCGAATCTTAATTTCTCTTCCTTGTTGCCCTTGGAGCTGAAGGCGCTGAGACCGGAGACGAATTCTTGGAAGTCGACATCGCCGCCTCCGTCTTCATCGAAGATGGCGATCATGCTGCAATAGAAATGGGAATTGGTTAGCCGCGAGTACTTCTGGGCTGTCAGGGTCATCGGGGTGGGGGGCAAGTACCGGGTCGCTAGAGGATTTGATGAGACTTGAGGAAGCGAGAGGAATTCGTCGCGTTCTATTGTTCCCGAATTGTCCTGCATGTATAATGAATATGGCGAGCAGAGCATTGATCAGGATGGAGATGCACACACTCTATCCAGCTTCATGAACCTCTTTCGCAGTCTGTCAACTTCATCTCGATCGACTATTGCGACGCAATCAGCGTCCTTGATTCCAAGTCAGGCCGTCTTCTCCAAGCCTCACAATTTGAACCTTGTATGATGCTATCGAGCATTTGGCTGCTTGATCCAGCTCTCCGCCGGGCGTCAAACAAGGCTGCCTGATTGGCGTCGGCCATATCTGTGTAATTGTTTTTCCAAGTGTGGTTCTTTTGTTCTTTCTCTCCTTCTCTCTTTGTTTGAATCTCCTGTGTTGTAGTCGCTGTAATGTTTGTTGTAGAGAATCCAGGCTCTAATATGATTGTAGATGAAAGAGGCGTGAGTGGGATGATAGATTACCTTAGATGCAGCGTAATGATTTGACGTGGGGCTGACAAAAGACGAGGCTAAGGTGCAGCCCACTAAGCTTTACTCGTAAGAGGGATGCCAAGGAGATGATGCCAAGGAATGCCAAGGAATGCCAAGGAGGAGGCATAACACCTTCACACTAGGTCCAAAGACAGTTAGTGGTAAATACATAACGCGCTAAGAATTCAAAACAAAAAAAAACAAAAAAAAGAGGGCGAGCTGCCGTCCTGCCCGTCACGCCGAGCCTTTCTTTCAGTGGGCACAACCACCCTGACCCTCGGACCTAGAAAATCGATCAAGTTGTTGTCTTCATCCAAATCAAAAAAAAAGTCCCATCCACCAACCCCCCTTCATCATCTATTTTTACGGTCGGACTTTGTCTCATACTTTGGAACATGCCTCATATTTTAATTTAATGAATGATTTGGAATTATCAAATCGCTCCTGAGAGAGCAAAACCATGACTCGTGCCGGCGCACTCAGTCAAAGTCGTATGAGGCAACGGAAGCTGAATACTAGAGCTGCGCTTCAAATCATTCGTGAAGACGATTTACACGAGGCCGATGATGATTTGCCCAGAGTGCTGTCGGGTCTTGACAGTGGCGTCGAAAAGGCGGAACAGAATGTATGTTCTCCCCAAGCACAAAGGATCAACACGTGACCAACGCAACAAGGAACACCATTTGCAAGCTGCACTTTCGGCTTCACAAGCAGCCGTCATCGGTGGTAAGGTCGCTCAGATATACATTCCCACTCCAGATGCTGTGCAGAGCTCTCTGCAATATGACAAGCTTTACCCCCTCACGTACGCGCAGCCGGCGACGTATGTTCGCTTTTCTTCCACCGTAGAAGACTGCGCAGGCTGTCCGTATGATATGGACGAAGAGGATCAGACTTTCTTCAAGTTCATGAACAAGAAAAAGAATGCCTCCACGCAATGCTCTGAAGATCAATTCGAAGAAATCGTGAACTGCTTCGAGGAGACGGCTCAAGTGAAGCAACCATTTGCTGCCGTAGACAGCCCTCCTGTTCTTTCTTATGATGAAATCGAAAGCTCTATGGATGATTACCTTGATCATCATGCGCGGCCCTTCGCTAGAGAAGTTTACGAGCACTGGAAGGCCCGAAGATTAGAAGCTGGCAATAAACCCCTAATAACCGGGCTCAAGGTAAGTCGCCTGCCCGTCCATACTGGGTGCAATCTTCAGCTAACAAAGTCAAGTTCGAGACAGGCGCGGATACCGATGATGCCGACCCCTATGTCTGCTTCCGAAGACGAGAAGTCAGACAGATTCGGAAGACTCGTGGCAGAGATGCCCATAGCGCCGAGAAGCTTAAGAAGCTCCGAAAAGAGCTTGAAGAGTCTCGGGAAATCATGGCTATGATCAGGCAGAGAGAGATCACCAAGAGAGAGCAACTTGCCGTAGAAAGACAACTTTTCGAGCAACGGGCCAATCTGAGGCAAGTCAAGCTGAATCTTCCCGATCAATACAAGGAAGGCGACGAAGACATCCTCGTCAATCAAAAGGTAAAAGCATTTCCCGAAAACTTTCACAAGCAACAATACTGATAAGCTAAACAGCCGAAGAAAAAGCCCTTGGAGATTACGCAACGTGCACCAGGGAACCAGTATCGCTTACCGCAAAGATCAGACGGTCGACCTGCTGATACTGATCTAGTCCTTCTCTCAGATCTTCTGGCGGAACAGGAGAAACTGCTGACACAAGACATCGACACAAAGATTGCTCAACATCAGCAATGGAACGTTGGTTACAGGGATATGACCAAAGCCCCGCTGACTCCGCCGTTGGAGTCAGATGCTGGATCGACTTTTCGTACCGCAACAACAGAGTATTTGCCTACACCTCCTGCATCAATATCTTCAGAGCTTTCTGGTGATGTTGCGCTTGATTTCAGTGCCGTGAACATGCGCAAGGCGGATTCGGTAGCAGTACGCTATGCTTCTCCATCCTATGATGGACCTTGTCACAGTCAGCCCTCCTTCAGGCGTAGGTATGGTAGAGGAGGCCGGCTGTGGATCGATCGTAGGGGCATGCGCTTGCCACCCAAGGCAGGTTTTGACTGTCCTGGCGCAGATCGATTCAAGTACGATGACGACGACGACGAAGACGAGGTGTCAGTGTACTTTGTCGATCCATTCGACACAGAAAGCATGCAGTTCCGGGCAAAACTCTTCTCCGCACAGTCGAGTCAAGCTCAAATGCAAGCTAGGCGGGCCGCCCAGATGGAGGCACCTTCGCACGGGACAAGCCATGCTTCCACCTCAGCACGTGCTTCTCGTCAGGCCGGGCCGGGCTGATTATAGGCCGAGCACAGGGTCTACAATCTGCTTCCAGATATTCGAGGGTGGATGTAATTTATTGACCACAAGCAAGCCATCTGAAACGAGTATTGACCGGCTTCCTCGAGCGCCACCCAAAGCCGCTGTTGTTGAGATAGACACAAGCCGTCGAGCTAGGTTGTATGTGGATTTCGAAGTAGGCTTCGGAAAGGCCCGACAAAGATGTGTTGTGAGGTGAGCTGTAGGACGGATCAACGCAGTATCCATACTGCTTGTGTGTACGTTAGAGCTGCTGAATGGCTGGGGATCTGAGTCACCAGGAGACGCAGCTCAATCGATGCTTTCGGAGAAAACCAGAATTAGGAGATACCCGAGTTGATAAGCCTTCAAGCCACATCTCACATCTTTCTCCTCTTGACGTGACTCGTACTCTCGTCCTCTCTAAGTTCGGCAATTGTATCGTCGACCCGGAGAGCTGCCATGGAGAGAACTTCCTTCTCTCCTAGACGAACTTCGATAGCCATTCTCCGCCGTCCTTGCACAGTCAGGTCGTGTAACAGAGCGATATCTTCAGCCAGTGTCGTTTTGTAGGCTTTCTGTCTGTCAGATATGATTTCTTTGAGAACCAAACGCAACGTCTTCAGCAGGTGTAGTGGTGGCTGCTTTGGCGTCCGTGTCCTAGCAATTGCTTGCTTAGCAGCATCCGTATCAAGCAACAACGCGGTGATAGTAAGTATGAGCGATTGATCAAATTCAAGCGATCCCTTCTCTGGTGGACGACTAAGGTCATAGCCGTCTTGCAATACTTGCCACGTTGCTGCAAGCTCGAGCTACTTCGCATTAGTGGAAATTGACTACTTCCACAATCCCAAAGAGGATTACCCTGGCATCTCGCTCTCTGTTATCAAGTTGATTATATTTGCTAGCAGCGAACACAAGCGTCTCAACATCCACTTCAACGACATCCCATTTCTTGTAATTGTCAGTAACGTAGCCGTAGCGCCGCTTCATGTTCTCGGAGTCAGCATGCCGTTATGAGAATGGACTCGGAGGTAGAAGACGAGCTCTTTGGGTAAAACACTCTCGAGATATGCTTCACAATTCAGGATCGGGTACTATATAGAGAGTAATTGGCCCGAACCGTCGACTTACAAGTAAATCTGACCTAGGCAATTGGCCAAAATCATTGAAGATCTGTTGATCTTTGAGAATGGGTTTAATCGCGACCATTGTCATGCCATCTCCTTGTTGGATCAAGTGAGCCTGATTCTGTCAGACCTGCCGTAATACTTCATGACATAGAGACACACATTGTTCATGTCACCCTCTTCATGTTTTCGGAGTCAGTGCTGCTTCTTTGTTGGGAATCATACACAAAAAAAGGTCAATGAGTACGATGCTGGTACAGATCAGGGAGAAGTCGCTCCGAACGATAGACGTACCGGCGTTGAACAGGTCGGCCAAGGGGACCAGTCCCTTGTTCATCTCGTAGGCTGATTGAGAGAAGCCATCATCTTCTTCTTCCTCGTCTTCTTCTTCAGAAGTAGATGTCTCTTTTTCTACATCGAAAGCATAAGCCATAATCAAGGTGGCCATTCTGTGAGCAAGGTTGAGTAGAACGGTGGATGCGTTGGAACCAACAAAGTCATGGGCATGCCGACCAAAAACCTCAGGCTGCTGTTGCACGACTGGCAATAGAAACTTTTGGAAAGACTCGTCAGCGTCATCTTTTTTATCTTATTCAGCACAGCACTGCCCTCCAGCTCCGCTAACTCGGATAAAGACCAGTATATCAAGGTGTCGAAATTTGTGGGCAACAATTGAAGGTAGTTCCACCACTTTGATTCTTTACCCAAGCCATCTTCATATATCATAACGAGGACTAGTGAATTCCATGGATCGAGACGCTCGAGTAGGTGTGGCTTGACTTTCTGAAGGCTCGAGTTTTGGACGGTAAGAACATCAGACTGGGCGATTCTGAAGAGCTCCTCATCTTCTTCTACGTCTTCCACAGCAACTACTGGACTTTCAGCAAGTATGGAGACCAGAGATTCTGGGCTGAGTCTATTACCTATTCCTCTGCCAGCATTGTGGTCCCTCAGATCGATTATCTCCAGCTTGCGGCTAATTGTCGTGCCTGGGCGCTCTCGCAGCCATTTGAGAAAGTCAGCGGTTTTTGGGTGGAAAGTGTCATTGCTCGCATAGGTAGCCATGCTGCCATCTCACAAGAAGGACATATGGTGCGTCGTGGGAAGTAGGAGAAGCGTGTGAATGTGTTTGGACAGAGGGTGGACGTTTTATTACGGAGAAGTGTGGGAATTGTATCGGGGCATGCACTTTTCTAGACGCGGATCGACCCCGCCCTAAGGGCGCCAAGGAGAGAACCGAGGAGCCTAAGGTATGCCAAGCAACCTAGCACCTCTGCCTGGCTCGATTTACTTGTAAAATACCTGCGGCAACCAACCACTTGGGGCTCGAAGGCTGCCTCTTTCTTACCTCAACTACTCACCTTCCATTATGATAGCCCTAGGTCTTGAAGGCTCTGCTAACAAACTTGGTGTTGGTCTCATCTCCCATCCTGCCAAAGGTGGTGCTGCGCACATACTCTCCAATATCCGCCACACTTTCATCTCCCCACCCGGCGAAGGCTTTCTTCCAAAGGATACCGCAAAACACCATCGGTCATGGATAATTAGACTTGTAAAACAGGCCATGAAAGAGGCTGGACTTCGAGTGGAGGATATCGACTGTATATGTTACACCAAGGGGCCAGGCATGGGAGCCCCGCTGCAGAGCGTCGCTGTCGCCGCGAGAATGTTGGGTCTGCTATGGGCAAAGAAACTGGTGGGCGTCAATCACTGTGTTGGGCGTACGTCGGTTTCCAGCTATCGGTCATGAGGCAGCGCTAAGGGGTTTTATCAAGATATTGAAATGGGTCGCGAAATCACGGGGGCCCAAAACCCGGTCGTTCTATACGTTTCAGGAGGAAACACGCAAGTCATAGCTTATGCTTCGCAAAGATATCGCATTTTTGGAGAGGCACTCGACATCGCCGTAGGTAATTGCCTTGATCGGTTTGCGCGGACGTTGCGTATATCGAATGATCCAGCACCGGGCTATAACATCGAGCAGATGGCGAAGCATGGGAGGCATCTGGTGGACTTGCCGTATGCGGTCAAAGGAATGGACTGCAGCTTCTCGGGAATTTTAGCAAGCATTGACATTCTGGCAGAGAAATTGGAGGCACATCGTGGGCAATGGAAGGATGAGTTAACAAACGAAGTGATCACGAGAGAGGATCTATGTTTTAGCCTGCAAGAAACGGTCTACGCTATGCTGGTGGAGATTACCGAGAGGGCTATGGCGCATGTGGGCTCAAGCCAGGTGTTGGTTGTGGGCGGAGTGGGCAGTAACGAGCGGCTGCAGGAGATGATGGGAATGATGGCTAGGGATAGACGAGGAACTGTCTTCGCGACCGACGAGAGGTTTTGTATCGACAACGGGATCATGATTGCTCACGCGGGATTACTTGCATATGAGAAGGGGTCGATCACGGCTTTAGAGGACAGTACGTGTACACAAAGATTTAGGACAGACGAGGTATTCGTCAAATGGAGAGAATGACTAAATAGGAAGCTGCATCCGGTGGTTATGAGACCCAAAGGCCATCCTCGACATAAGCCATGGTATCAATTTCATGTTTCCATATCTTGCCGCACGACGGATGTAAGACTTGGTTTTCCGAGCCTTTGAGGGACTATCCGACGCTGGAAGTATGACGACTCCTTTTGCAATCTGGGAGGACCGGACAGGCATAATTGTACCTCGTTCTTACAGAAATCCTGTGTCGCTAAGGATGCCGAGCAAGCCCCGTGAATTATATCGGTCGGATTATCATCAGAGTATGGTGAAGCCTACTCTTCAGTGGGCTTGTATACGATCGTTGTCACATACTATTCAGACGTGAGCTAGTCCTTCCAATTTTACATTGCATTGCAACATGTCTTACCTTCCGCTTATAGCGAGTAGTAATGCTTGTAGCAAGTACGTCGTGCTTGATACTGCTCGTAGCTAGATGATTCAAGACGGTGTGATTTGGCATATTCAAGACGCTACTGTCATCCTTCATGGGAGTTGTGCCATTGAGGATTGATTTACCGAGAAACAGTGGTAACCCTGGAGGCGCAGAGAAATCGGAGACACCTCGTGCAGCTCGCTGATAGCGTCTGGATTGCTCCGAAAGGTCGATATCATGAAGGTACTTGGGTACAACCTTCCCCCAGAAGACTGGCTCCACCTTTTGCTCCTCCTCGACAAGCTGAGTCTTACCAACAGAATCCGGTGCATGGTCTTTTGCTTCTGTGCCTTCATGGAGCACTTGAGGAAGCACTTGAGGCGGATGAAACCCTTGTGGGACCCTTCCCTCGTCCGGAGATCCCTTGGGTATGTCATCGGCACTCACCTCCAGATAATTGACAAGGATATTGGTGTAATCCACAGCTGTAGGCAGTTCATTGGAAAGCTGCATCTCCCCGTCGACGATGAATTTAACATGATGGGTTCCTGGTGGGAGTTGGAGAACTGTCGCGTGGTGTCCCGTTGTAGAACTATTGAGGAGCATGAGGTCAGCATGCCTCTTGATTATTCGAAGTCGCATAAGAGAACCAGCTAATCCTCGCAGGCTTCGCAGGAGCCACAAAGCTGTGGAAATCTGGTACGGACGGTGGAGCATAGTGTATAGAGAGATACATGAAGCCACATCATCCGCAACATCGATGTGCAGGCACACAAAGGAAGGGGCTGCTCACTCCCTGCTCATGCGAAACTTTCTATTCCATCCGGCAAACGTTCCGGTGACATAGACCCTATCACCACCTTGCGTCCATTGCAGCCGAGTTGGTACAAGCCCCTGAGGCGGCGCTTCATACGGATATGGCTGAAGCTCATTGCCTAATTCTTCTTCTTCGAGTGTTGTGCTGCTTATGACAGAGGATTGACGGGGTATAGCGCCGTCGAAGTCTTCCTCGTGTAAAGAAGAAGAAAATTCCTGAGGTGCGATCGTTGGAGAATATGGAGCGTGGAACTCTTCCTCGATGGGAAGGGGCATCCGAGGGGGGAAATTGAGGTTTGAGTGAGGTACGAAATTGGGATCTCTGGGAGGGCCAGAGGATTCGAACTGTGAGTCTGGTCCTCTTTGTCGTCTTGGATCAGAGCCGCGAGGGACCTTGACGGGCGTTGATTTCCCCGTTGTCCTGGACTTTTCCTTCTTATTTTCATCCTGAGGTGCTTGCTTCGATTGATCGTTGCCCATTGAGTCTTGATATTGGGGTCGTTGCGATGGAGAGGGGCTGGCAGAGTGTTTTTCGAGGTGTGGTGGTCTTGTTGCATTGTTGTGTAACGTCGGAGCCTTATGCTCCTTCTCCTTCCGTGTATTTACGGTGGAGGAATTTGAGCTCGACGAATGATTTGCTACGGGTGAGGTAGGACTTTTTTCTTTGGAGCTCTGATTGCCCATTTTGTGATGTGTTGACGGAATCTAGTCGAGCAGTAAACATTGTTTGTCTTGCATTATAGTACGAAGAAAGCATATAATATTAAGATGGATTGGTCAAAAAGTGTTGAGAATTGCCTTAGGTACGAGTACAGCTTCAAATGCTCTGAATGGTTTAGTCAGATCACTAGTCGCTGCGGGTGGCATCTCCGCACTCCTCCACCTCCAAAGTTGTCCAAAGCATGGCACCTCCCAACCAGTGATTCATTATGATCCTTCGGAAGCGACCATGAAAACTCCAACCTCGCAATGGACTACCTGTTCGCTGCTTGGACTGTCATCTACTTCATTGCATACCCGATCTTTTACATCCTCAAGTTTATCCTCTTCCTCTCGGCCATAATCACCGCGCCCCTGCTCCACCTTGGCCATTACTGTCTCTACGCCTGTTGGTACGTGTTACGCGTTCTTGGTAAATTCGAGGCAAGTCAAGTGAAGCGTGATATGGTTGACACTTGTCTCATGGGTCACTAACGGCATCACTGCAGACTCTCTACATCTTCTTCGGAATCGCAACGCTTGTCGGTCTTGTCACGGGCACGAGCCTTCACTATGTCTCGGGCTTCATCACATCCATACTGAACCTCGATTCCTTGCCTGAACAGCAAAGAGGGCGGACCTTGGCTTCTTATCGCGCAGAGAAGCAAGAGAGACGTGATGCGAAGGATCCAATTATGGAGCTTAGGCAAAAGGATGAAGGTCTTCAAGGGAATGACCTGAGGTTGAGGGAGGACTATATGAACTGGAGTTTATCAAAACAGGGCCGAGGACGGGGCGGGCCTAGGTTTAATACCATTCTTGAAGAGGAGGATACCTCAGATGGCTTCTGATTCCGAAGCGTCAATTCTTAGCTTCTCGAAGCTCCGTACTCCAAAGACCCGTAGCCAAGCCATATCCAACGCAAAGTCTTCTCGCCATTTGAACTCTTCAGTTTTCATTTTTCACAACGCCGTGTCGTGCAGACTCAAGAAAACTCCGCCTTCATGGTATCATAGGTAACGCCAGTCAATCAATCAGTCAGCAGAAGAACAACCACGACATCCACAGCTCACACATTCGATGGTTTGGTCCTCTTTTAGCTGTGCCTGTGGTACTCGACAAATGCAGGTTGCGTTGAAGTTCGTCTCTTTTGTCTGTATGCATCGTAGGCAGCATAACTGTAATTCTTTCCCCGTCAGTGTTGTACCAAGAAGCCACCCTGAAAATACGTACCTTTTCATATCCTTGCTTCTTCCATTTGGCAATTAGAATCCCGTCTGCATAACCATTCTTGATTAGCCACTCGTAGAGCAGCTTGGATATAGCTTCTTTGTCATAGTATAGATCGTAGATATATCTCGAGCCTGTACTCAGAGAGTCGGTAAGTCACAATATCACCTACCGATGCAGATGACATACGCTGATGACTGATCTGAAATATAGGCCATAAGACCTCGTGTCGCTTCTTGCCCTCATGTGAAGCATTTTCGGCGTCTTTCATCTTATTGGCAAATTCAAGCAGGGTATCTTCGATGTCGTCGAAGCCATCTGGTGGTGGCTTGCGGTTTCGCGCTGAGCGGACGGGAGGCATCTTTGATGTCTCGTGTCCGGATGAAGGAAGCTGCGACAGCTGCTAGAAAGTTTCGACTTTTGCAATCGGGTTGAGAGTGACTTTGGTAGCTGCAAATTGCAATTCTCGGTGTTATTTTAACGTATCTAGAATTAACGAGGTACTAGTACGGTAAGGTACTCGTAGCCCCCGCAGCTACGAGGCTTAGCTCCCGGCCCTCACTCATGGGAGGCAGCAGGTCAGCCTCACTTTTGCTGCTACCCTCCAACACAACGACACAATGGTGATCAATCCCACCTACCTTGCCCAGAAAACGTGCTCGTGTATGATATTAATTTGTCCCGGCACAAGCAGGGAAAAGAATTGAAGCTAATCATACACAGCGACGAGTTGGAAAGATGCGCAGCGGAGGGTAATCCATGCCTACCGGCAATGGCTGAGATCAGTCAGTCACGATAGATACCCGCCACTTGACTCACCAAAGGCTGACCTTGGGCTGCGCATCAGGCTCCTGAAATCCAGCAAATGTACTCACTCAATCTGCCCGTGTCCCAGCTACGAACGAAAATACGGCAAGAGTTTGAAAGACACCGATACGTCAACAAGCTGCCGGTGGTAGACATGCTACTGTTCCAAAGCCACTCGGAATTTCAGGTATGCCGCACTGCGGATAGACAACAAGAGAGCTCATGCTGGGAGGCTGGAGAATGGGGCGAAATCGACGAGGCTCTCGAACAAGAGCATATCCACTGGGCGGATGCTAACGCAGAACACGGCAGGAAACATTGAACTACTGGAAGCAAATACCACACGTCATGAAGTATTTTCGGGAAACAGAAAATCCGACAGCAAGATTACCTGCAGGTTTTATGCAAGGCTTTCTGGAGGTAGGCACTGCGGTTCCAACAGTGAAGGTCAAGATGGCTAATCGCCATCTCTACAGGGTCGCAACTGAGATATCTGCTATCGAAATGCATCCTGCTTTGTGTAGTACATAATGCGGTCTAAGTCTTCGGGAACCCATACGGCTCAGGACGCCTGATGTCCACAGCTTCGCCTATCTAGATTCTTCAAGATTTCTCTGTAGTATTGAACTCGTCTCTAGCAACCGTGAACTTGTCAATTACGACATCGCACAAACCCATAAGATCATCGAACCCTTTCTCCAATGCATCGTAGACGGTCGTGCCATCTGGAAGAAGACGTTAGGGAGGATTTGATGTCTACCTGGTTTGCTATGTACCTACCATACGTCTGTATCCTCAGATTCATTTTAGCCTCGGATGGATGCGGTATCGAGTAACCACACAGCTCAACTTCAGGACTACCATTCAAGTCTAGTGCCAAGACTAAAAAATGTGGGACTGGAAGGAACCCTACTTCTTCATAATTATGTACCTCAAAGCATTCCCTAGAGTATGGTCCTCTGCCTCCAATTCAAAGGACGCCGCTGTGTCACTTGCACCAGGGAGCTGCGTGGAAAGATTAGGCGATTGCTTTGGGTAACTGGTTCAGCTCGTTTGTTACCACTCTTATCCGCTGATCGATGAGGCTTATGAATGTTTCGTCAGGGTTTGTCGCGGCGTTTTCTCCGCTTTCTGCAGCAGCGTTGTGCATAGATTGATCTTCGGAAGCGAGAACTGAAGGCATTTTGTGGACGTGTGTCACAGTCAGTGTGTTTGTAAATACTATTGTGATTGTTGTTCTTGTTTTGTGTTAAGGGGGCACGGGGGAAAGGTTTCAAGATCGTACTGCAGGATTATTTTTTCTCCGCCAAGCGGGAGGCCAAGAGAGAACACCGCCTCGGAAGTTTGATACTATTTTTTAAAATTGTCGATTTGTTTTGCGATCTACCGTACATGCATTGCGGGTTCGCCAGGTTGGAAAACATCCTGTTCATAATTTCATAGCAGTGGCTCGATGGACTTCTCCCCAGAGGCCGACGGTTTTTTATACGGTCGCGCACCAAAATCACAGCAAGCGCGCGCGGCAACAGCCAGCACCTTTAAAGTATTTTACTGAGGCTGAGCCTCTGAGGTCATTGTGCAGTGAAAGCACCGAGTCGGCGAACCATAAGTAGCGCGCGATTTCGGGACGGGAGATCCTTCTATTGAGATTTGAGAAGCGGCATTATGGCTCAGAGTCACGGACATGGAAATGGGAGTGATGCAAGATACCTTGCCTTGTTTGACATTCGACAGTATGAGTAGTAGCAGTCTGTGACACATCCTTTGCTCTGTGATTGGATATTGACACATGCTTTACTCTCTACAGAATAAGTGTTTGGTGTATGTGACGGAGGTCCAAGGGGCTAGGGGCAAGGGTCTGTTAGACTCATTCAGGGGTGGGCAGGCCGTTTCATTCACAGATGGAGGTTTGAGGTTTCGCGGCGAGATACAGTAGCAGGCTAGCAGCTGCATATCGCATGATTTGATTGGACATATGCCATGCAGCAGGAAGAACGTTGTCGTCTTAACGTAACATTGATTCCCTCATGAGAATAAGGTTGGCACAGACATTATTGCCTCGGGTTGCGTTCGATGTTCGCTTCGGCGGAGTGAGCGACCGCCTGTCAATATTTATGGCACAAAGCTAGGCACGTCATTATTATTACTCTTTAGATCGCCTCTTATATCTCATGTTGAAAGAATGGCAAAGAGGCCAAGGACAATTTACCATGTGAAAGGGTAGGTAAGGCAATATTAATGGAGACCTGGTGCTGTCAACCGTAATTGCCAAGAAGCAGGATGATAGGCAGCCAGCCCCACAGTCTAAAGCGATTCTTGCTCGATTGATGCCTCTCTCCCTCAGCCGTCTCGGCGCTCAAGAAGGATGTTTGTCCCCATGAGGCGCACACTCATCCTTTTGGTCTCAGCTCATGGCGTACCTCAAACCTTTGTAGGCAGCCAAAGTAATGTTTGAGAGAGGTCGCCACACCTCAGTCATCCTCCCTTAAAGATGTTAGTGCGAAACGTTCTATCCGTACCCGCCCCAGAATCCCAGATAATAAAGTAATAATTCCTACTCTGTACACCCCCTCCTTTTAAAACCAACACGACTGGACAACATCCTTGACTGCAACCGAAACCCCTCGTACTCGTTGAATTCCCCCGTTTCAAATACGTTACGCACCACAAGGCCTCCAAACAAGACCTCACTCAACCTGTCGACCTTATTCCCTTTTCCACTCTGTACACTGGAGCACCTTGACGCCTTGCTCATCGTGCAAGCTACCCCTCCCGACCGAAAGCATCGCCTGCTGCTCTTGCCATCCTGCCGGCAGCTTCAGGCCAGCCAGGCATATCCTTCTCTGTGCATTCGCTTCCCATTTCCACAAGGGTTGCCCTGTTAAGCGATCTTTGAAGCGCGAGTCTCGTCTCTTGCGCTTCTTGCTCGTGTCTGAAATATCCTCGTAGCCATCTGCTGTCGCTGCGATATCATTCTCCTACAACCTTCGCCATGTCTACAGCTGTCGCATCTGTCGCAGCGCCGCTCGCTCCGCCTCCATCCGAACTGGGCTCGAGTCCTCAGTCAAGCTTCCCAACCCTCGCTCCCACACACACACCTGCTTCAGCCGAGCAAAGGTCTGCGTCAGCCACCTCCCGAACCACATCGCCCAACGCTCCTGTCGTGCTTAGTGAAGCTGCGGCAAAGCAGAAATATACCCCGGAAGGGAAACGTTCACCAAATTCGTAAGTTGTCTTTCTCGTCTTCTCTACAACTCTGCACCATGCTGCTGCTACCAACGTACCATCGTCCTTCTCACACCATGTACAGCGCAAGGCATGGGCCGCCCAAGATTATTGTGAAGAAGGAACCGCCTTCTTCACCAGAGGTGCCTGCTACCTCCAGGCACAGGCCAAGGAAATTGGACTTGTCTTCAAGTACATCCCAAAGCCAGGCTGCCATGTCATCGAGGCCATCGGCGCCATTGACAGCGAGAGAGAGTGGAGGCCTGGCCATGGTTGATGTTGGACTAGCATGTCTGTCACCTGGCTTCCAGACCCAGGATCCTACTATGCAGCAACAATTGCAGAGAAGCATATCCGTTCGAGATCAACAAAGGCACATCATCGAATCACGATTACAGAAAACCGCGAAGCCTACTGATCCGGATGGGAGGAGCACTTCGGATAATCCGTTCGGTGGGGGCTTGAAGACACCCTCGACGTCAAAGAAGAGGCCACCCAATGGCTTGTCCATAGTCCCGCCATCCCATGAACAATTCGCCAATGAAAGAGTCATCCAATCGGCACCTCTCCATCAAAGCTTTACCGGCAGGCATCAGCATCCTATGACTCGACATATCGCGAACCAACCCTCCAATCTCTCCAACACTTCTCATATTCACCACGTACCCGCAACTCAAACGAACAATAGGCTACCGCCAATTTCGGATGTCTTCGCTGGCGATGGTCTTGGTATGCACAGGAGAGAAGGCCATTACCAATCCAACTCCAATTCCAATTCTTCTCATTCAAACCACCGCCCTGCCTTCCCCTCTCCTGGTCTCCCACCACCATCATCACACCCTCCTCCGTCTAGTCGAGCTCGAGATTACCGGTCAGCAGAAGAGGCAGTAGCCGAGATGGCTGGTGGCAGAGAAGATTTGCTTCCAAAGATAGTCCACTACAGTGGCCACCAGCCGCCCACGCCCCCTTCTCCTCCATCGAATCATGGTGCGACACCCGGCAAGCCTCCGATCAATCTTGTCAACGGCGAGTCCAGCCGGAGCGGCCATGGCCGGAGACGCGGCCGAGCAGAATACGAACGGGACATGGGCACACCTCCTCTCGGCAGTGGACCCGAGCCCCGGCGCGGGCCATTTGGACTCGGCATAGACAGTCCAGAAACGCAACGAAAGAAGAAGGATGAATTTTTGGGTTTGTGTGCCAGGGCCTGGGATTTGTTCCATTCTTGATCGCATTTTTCCACATCTGACATATATACTCGGCGTACAATGTGTGCGTTCCAGCTTATAGATTGAGGCTCTCCGAAGATGAGGGCGTGTCTCCTTCGTTTTCAGCAGTCGGAGTTCCGGCTGCCTTGGTCTTGGAGGTGCTGGGCGTTTGTAGCATCCTGGGGTTTGCTATTCTATTACGGAAAGGGAGAATGAACGACGGCTTCTTTGGAAGCCACAAAGCATGGATCACGAGAATTCGAACGAGACGCGCAATAGTGGTTAATGTCTAGGCAGCTATGTATGAAGGAAAGCGAAGGAACCTATCGAATTCTTACTTATGTGGAGATGGATCATTTCTATCTATCTGATAAGCTTTTTTAGAACTAGTGCTACTCTTTTATGAGTCTCGAGAGTACCTCTCCTTGATTGATTTCCATTTCGAGCTTCTTGAGTCTGCCGTTGACCTGTCTTCTCACTTAATGTTCCAGCTTAGTATTTCATAGCACCTTGGCATGTCATGGAGCCTACAGACCTAAGGAGTACGAACATCGACATCGGTTGGATAGGGGCTGGGTATGATGACGTAATGGTTCACCTTATTGGCATCACTATCGCGGTCTCTTGATCACACGCGTCCCGGCGCCCTCTCTCTTCTCATTTCCTCCTCTCCCGAGACTCTTTCTGAGCACGCACGATCCCAGAGTTTGTGAGTCGACTTTAACATTGACGAGGACCACTTGAACAAAGCGCTAGAATCACCTTGATTCACAATCAACCCCTTCTCGCATCTGGCATTCCCTTCCTCTCCTTAGCAGCCTTTTTCTTCCGCCTTCTCTCAATAGTCTTGTCAACTTGCTTGTCCTTCATGCCCTCGAATCTCTCAACCAGTGCCATCTTTTTCTGGTCGGCCTTCTTCAAGTAGAACGGTCTCTTCCCTTGCTCAATCTTCTCCTTCTCCTCCCTTCTATGCTTTCTCAACACCCCCTGTTGCTGCTCTTTCATCCCCTGGGCCTTCTTGCGAGACTCCATGCTAAGAAGGGCGCGCTTGAGTTTCTCCTTGGCCTCACTGTCTTTGACTTTGCGAATGGCTGATCTGAGCTCTGACATTTCGGAGTCGCGGTATGTATCCAAGAAGGAGTAATTTCTCTGGGTTTTTTGTTCGTCGACAGCCCCACTGAGGGGCTCGAAGCGCGGGTCACGATGATTTATTTTTTGCGTTGGCACGACTTCTCGTCTGCGAGAGACGGCCTTTTTGGAGGAGAGCTCTGCAGGGGCGTGCTTGGAAGTGCGTGAGAAGTCGCGGGTATCTTTTTTCCCGGCTTTGCGCTCCAGTGCTTCATCATTAACGAGTTCGCGAGGTACTTGAGTCTTTCCAGCGGATTCTTGGGCGTCTCCATAGCCATCGTCATCATTGCCTCGCTTTCGCTTGCCGAATGAAGCGTGTGCTTTCGCTAAGGCGCCGAAAGATATGGAAGCAGCTTCGTTCCCCGGAGCTTGACTCGAATTCTCTGACTCGGACTTTGAATTCCCGCCAGCCATTAGCTCCTTGGTCGCCGGCCCGTCCTCCTCAGTGGGTCACTTACCTCTTCCTCTTGGTGGTCCTCATCGTCACTGTCGTGGTGGGAGCTTTCTTCGCTTTGGCCAAGTAGAGAAGAGTGTCTAGCATCACCGGGAGTACCCATATCAGAACCCGAGTCAGTGTGGGAGCCACTATCGCTAGCATCTTTTACTGCTCTGATACGACCATGTAGTGAATACGCGAACACCATCGTCGGTTCTGGACGTCGAGGAAAAGAGGGTTTCATGTCACGGACGACGTCGCCTGGAAGCACAATAGTCAAGACTGACAAGTAGATCTCTTAATCTGGAGACACGAACAGCGCAGAATCATTGAGATGGCTGTTTTGATGGTTCACAACTGAACCTTTTTTTCTTTCTCTTTCTTTGGGGTGCTCCCTTTGGTGGAGACAGGAAACATTTACTTCATAAGAGTAGGGAGGGGCTCGCACGGCTCGTTTGAAATTTGGGATGACGCGCGGCGGAACTTTCCGCCGCTAAAGAAAGATAAGCTGATAAGGTACATTGAGTTATAAATTTATAGTACATGTCTTCATCACATCTTCATCACATCTACCTTACGTTAACAAGTATATGTCAACCGCTCTCAATAATCCAGCTTCACACCAATACATCCTAGCATATTTGGTCCAACTATTGCCCTTCCATTCATCTACCTGTGTATCCCATCATGCCCATCAATCTCATTATGTCATTCAGGTACGAGTAAACGCAAACTTCATCTGACAGGTAACATCTGCTGAATTATGGGGACTATCCAAAAGACCAGCTTCACCCGCCATGTTCGCGTCAAATCCTTGAAGCACAGCATGGAGAAACAGGAAACCCTTGGCTTGGAGAATTTGGGCCTCGAGAAGTTAGCGGCACCTCGAAATGCCAGTCGCGCGAACAAAGGAAAAGGTAGACGCGCAGAAGACGATGCTTCTATGCAGTCAAAACTTCAACAAGCCTCTGGACAGCATACTTCAAGCATCAGCTCCTGGGATCCGTCCGCGCCTCCATCGTATCACCCATTACCTATCGCCCCACTCGGCAGCTCTGCAGATACCCGGAATTGTTGGTCTTCGCAAATCTATCATCATGGTTTGGCACAAAATTATCCAGCTGTTCCCACATGTCATCCTGCGCAAACCTCCGTCTCTCCGCCGGGCCCGCCAAGTGTGTCCAGGTACCAGTCCGGGCAAGGTTTTAAACCCGTCAGTAGACCATCGATCGCTCCTAGAGTGACTGCAGTTCCTTTTAAGCAGCCCAGATTCCTTTCTAGAGGCTCGGAACCTACCGTGCAGAAGTCTACCATGTCAGTCCTGACGTATCGTGGTCTCCCATCCTCCCGTGTTGACAAGCAATACAGGTACTCAAAAGCCAACCCGCCGCTGCTCACTGCGGCTACTCTCGTCCAGCATGGAAGATGGACAGACTCACCACCAGCCAACCTCCGACAAGCTGTATATCAACCGAGTAGATCTTCGCAATCCACAAAAACTAGAGATCTCGAAGCTAGCCCGCCCGCTCCTCGCAAATCCTCGCCTTCCATTGTTAATAGCAAGGATGACCTCATTCACCTACCGGCTCCGGCCCCCACGTCGGCCTACATCAATGATGCTCATGTCATACCCAACCTTCTCTCCTCACCACAACGCCTCCTTCTTGTATTGGATTTGAACGGAACTTTGCTCTACCGTTTTCGAGCATCCCAGAATTACACACCTCGTCCCTGCCTTCCTGAGTTCCTCGAATACGCTTTCGCAAATCATAGCCTTCTCGTATGGTCTTCTGCGCAACCATACAACGTTAAAAGTGTATGCGCACGAATTTTCTCTCGAAGCCAGCGTGCAATACTTTTGGGCGAGTGGGGAAGAGACACGCTTGGGCTGACATCCGCACAATACAAAGAGCGCGTCCAGGTCTACAAGCGCCTTGACCGTATCTGGGGTAATGAAAATCTTCAACATTCTCACCCTGACTTTGAACGTGGTGAGAGATGGGGCCAACACAATACCGTGCTGATCGACGACAGTGCCCTAAAGGCGAGCGCACAGCCTTTCAACCATGTTGAAGTTCCGGAATTTGTGCGGGGCGCCAGTGAAAAGGATGGAGATGGCCGAGATGTGCTTGGACAAGTCGTGGGGTATCTCGAGGAAGCGAGGAAGTGGAGTGATGTTAGCGGGTTCGTGAGGCACGGGCCCTTCGAACTCGATCGATGGCGCTGGGAGTGGCAGAAGAATAAAGCACAGGAGCGTGATCAGTGCGGAAGATGACGAAGACGGTAGACTGGGGCTGTGAGTACAAGACGCCGTGTTGTGGTTGTTGCTCCGAGGTGACAATTGGGGTCCTCGGGGTCCTCCCACTTGCCCAAGCTTTACTACATACTGGGGACCAGGGCTGCTGGGGATTGCTGAGATTGCGAAGATACCCTGTATAGCGTGAAGAACAGACTTCATTGTTTACAGACACATTTCATACGAACTTGCAAGAAGCACAATATCCAAAGACTTTCGCTATGTTGGAATTGCTCTTCCATTGCATGAATCTGAATATCAAGAGACTAGGCGCCACGTTGAGCGCATAAGATATACATGAAGAGTGTCTCGCAGGAACCGTCATAAAGCTGAACAAAACCATGTCGCTGATCGTCGTTGTCTTGGCTATCGTAAACTCGTGCATCCCTCACAACTCCCAGATTTTCCGAACGACCCCTGACCCCTGTAATCTCCTCCTCCGTGCCGAGTAAGAATAGAACAAAAGTGAAGATTCAAGTCTGGCGAATTATATAGGCGACTTGCAGATCTAGCCTAGCGCCAATGTGAAAGAAATTGAAAAGCTTCTCAATCCGACGCACTCTGAAGGAGGTGAACATCACTCGACACTAGTCTCCCCCAGTTGGCCTACAATACGCACGACCGCGGAGACGGTCAAAGACCCTCAACTTCTAATGCTGAAATCGAGATCCCTAGAAGCGCGAGGGGCCGGTGTGAATTCGAGCCCCCAAATTTGGCCTGGACACTCTCTGAGCAGTGGAACCGGTATGCTGATTCCCTCCGATCTTCTGAAATCCTTGCAAGATGTCCACGCCACCGAAATCGTCGGGCTCCTCATCGTCGTACTCGAGACCAAACAACTCCTCTTTTGAGACATCATCGAGTTTGCTTTCCCAAACAAGCGGGTTTTGGCTGGACTTCTGCGCCAGGGGCGACTCCAAAGCATGGGCCTTCGCATTCGATAACAGTCCTTTGCTGTTCAGAGTCGTCCCAGTAACGTCGGCAAGAACGGTAGCCGTCCTGCTTGCACGCTCAGTGCGCGGGCGCCGTACTGATCGTCTTGCAGGAGACGAGGAAGAGCGCCGACGGTAATCATGTTCATCGTCTCTAAAAATGTTGAAGCTTGTGTCGAAGTCGTCGTTGAACAAGTAGTGTTCCTCATCAACGATGTTGAAGGCTGGACTGAAAGACACCCCCTCGTTGAAAAGACTCGTGTTCTTCACAGGGGAGCCGACCAGTTCCCTTATCTTGTTGCGATGATTCCTGAGGTTTGTGTTGGGCGAAATGGAAGCTGGTGGCTTTGCCGGAAGTTTGAATCTCACTGCTGGTGTCAGGGGTGGAAGCATCAACGAGCTATCAAAATGGCGCAGCGGAGAGGACGAGACCGGTGGCCGCGACTGCTTCACCGCCGCGCGGCCCTTACTTGGACTAACGTCATGTGATGAAGAGCGGATTCGCGCGATCTCTTCTTCGGCTCGCCCCCGCTTGATTCTCGGTCTATCAGCGGTAAGGCTGGGGAGCATAGGGTTTGCAAAGGGCCGCGTTGCCGAAGAGTCCAAGGAAGAAAAATAACCGCTATCGTCCATCGCAGCCAATTTGCCCCTTCGTGATCTAGAATTGCTCGATGGCAGAGGAAAACCAGCTACGGGAGACGGCGTGTCTTCACGCGGCAATAACGGACGGGGGAGCGGCGGCGATGAGTGAATAGGCTGGAGTGGAGGTGATAGCGGGAGACGTGAGGCAGGAGGTGGCATGTTCAGGATCTCTTCGATTTCGTCTTCTTGAGATGGCGCATCTGACGCGGGTATCGTGGCATCGGACGACGGTTCAGTGGCTTCAGTCACACGTCCGACTTCCCTCGAAGGAGGCTGAGGTTGACTAGACCAGATACTTGCTTCGCTTGATAGTAGTGACGAGCTCTTCAATATCGTTCCGGAGGAAGACGTTGGGCGACGAGAGGCTTTGTCTTTGATAAATTGAGTCTCCATTCCCGGTTCTATCGCCCAGTAATTCCCCTTTCCCGGGTCATCTTTAGGTCTCTCTTGCTTGATGAAGGCCTTGTTGAGACTCAGATTGTGGCGGATGCTATTCTGCCAGCCTGTTTGCGACGCACGGTAGTAGGCGAAAGAGTCGGAAATCCACTTGTATATCTGAGCTAGGGTTAATCGACGTCCTGGAGCGCGAAGTATCGACATTCCTATAAGTGCTGCGTAACTGTACTGTGGCTTTCTTCCGTCATCCTCGATCAACGGCATGTTTTGAGGTTCGGGGATCTCGGGCGCCGACAATTCATCAGAACGGTTTTTCTTCGCCTGTCTATCATGCAGTGGAGCGGCATTGCTCAATATTCTCTTCAAAGGAGCTTTGTAACCATAGGAAGGATCCGGAAACTCTGCAACATTGTCGCTGTGATATGTAGGGGTGAAATTTTCTTTGTCCGCAGATGCGTTGCTTTGAAATGTGGTAAATATAGGCTTCAAGGGCTTAAGGTGCACGATCGGGTGGAAGGCCGAAGAGGTTGGCCTCTTTAGCGGAGAGTCTGTGGTGAAGACAGGGGCTTGTGGAGGCGGTAGCGAGATGTTCGCCTGGTTGTCGTACAAGGCTTTTGGTGGAGAGGAGCTCTGCTGCCGGACCGGTTTGAGTGGGGAGCGTCCACTTGCCCTTGATATGGGAGGATTGAAGACAATATTTCGGCTAAAGGGAAGGCCGATGTGCAATTTTTCATCAGAGAACACTGAGCTCATCAGATCATAAGAGGGTTGTGATGCCGAGACTACATTGTCGGAAGCGGAGCTGGGATCCTGGTAAATCTCAGGGCGGCGCGTCGACGCCATCGACAACGAAAATGAACCGTATCTTCAATACCAGGACCTGATATTAGATGTTGTAAGACGCGTGAATATCGATCGTCAAAGCTCTCGAATAAACGTTGTGGTTGTGAGCGACTATGCAGGATGTAGATGCGGTGCAATCTCTGGGCCGCTAAAGCTGCACTTGGGCTGCGGGCTCGAATGGAGGCAAAAGCACCGAGCGAAACCGAACGGTCTGCTTGAATCAGAAGCGCAGACAGCAGTTGTTCTTCCGAAGTTTCGAGACAAAGAAGGGCAGAGAGTATTTTGTGAGACGTCGGCGCAAGTTGATCCGCGAATTCTGTGTTAAGCTTGGGACTAACTCCCTGCAAGCGCTGAAGGGCAAGGTAATGTGGCAATGGAAACAGTGAGTCTCTATGCGATGTAGCGGTATGATGTTGTGAGCAATTGTGACCCGAGAGGGTAGGGTAGAAAGTAGAGCTGAGAAATGGGAAGTGGATGGAGATACCAGGTACTACAAGTGCTCAGGAATTAGGGAGTGGCCCGAAGCATTCCCCACTTCGCCTCAATCTCATTCGCTAAAGCGAGAATCCAGCTTCATCAAGAAGAAATGCAATAATGTCATTCATAACCTCTAAATTCATGAATGATGAGACATGGACTGACTTTAAGGACTTTTGCCTCCTGGCGGTTGCAGTCCAGATAGAGAAAGGCTGCGACCACTATCGGGTCAAAACCATTGGCTACCAAGTCTAGCAGCCAGCGCTTCTACAAGTAGGCTGCAAGGTGTGGGGGTACAGTGAACGCGTCGTCCACGCGCAGCTGTCATTGTGCAAACTGGCACCACCGCAGTGAAGGCCAATGGAAACCCCCAAAAAACTCGCACTCCACACACGTTAAGCAAGACTGTAAGAGAGCCAATTCATCGACAAAGGACTTCGTTATCCCGAACGACGGAAGAAGTCAACATTAAGATGGCAGGGTCTACAGAGCATGCGTAAATCTTCATCCATCCGAAGCTATGAATCTTTGGAAGACGCGTAGCTAGATAGCGGGCGTCTAAGCAACACCCGGAAGTTTGGCCTCTGTAAAACTCTCCGCATAGTCAAAATCCGTTGAATCATGTGCTGTGACGGAGACCTTTGTCCACCCAACTCCGGATAACTCTGATCCAGCCTTCAAAGCAGCCATGCCATTAGATTTCATAAAACGTTCAGGACTGGGCTCACCGCCGATAAAGCTCCCTGTTACGATCTCGTTCAGGACTTCGACTCCTCCTTCGTCCAGGATCTCGATGTTCTTGCTCCCTTCTCTCCCCTTGCCGCCCTCTATCACCCCTATCATCTCGCCGCTGACCGTCATCTCGACCTCGACGTCCATCATCACGGTCACGATGTCCTTCATCCCTATTAGCATAGCTCGGAATGTAGGTATCCACCCGAGACCCTCCGACCACACCTCCTTCACGCGGCGGAGGCCTTCCTCTTGTCTCATCACGCGGAACACTTCCTCGGTGAACCTGGCCTCCCCATACGGGATTTATTGGAGGTGGGGGTCTTGGCGGTAACCCATTCGCTTCTGGAGGCCAAGCTGGACGTCGATTTTGCGGTGGCGGAGGTCCCGGAGGTGGAGGTGGCCCTCTGAATTCTCGCTGCAGACCATGCTGTCGATTGTCGTAGCCAGTATGCCTAGGTGGATATGCTTGCTGCTCGTTCGAGTATGCTCCGAGGCCTCCGCGAGATCGGTACTGACCATTATGATTCAAATGACCAGCAGCGTTGACAAAGTCCCCATCCGGACCCATCCCGACAGTACCACCAGCTGGTGCTGGAGGGAGATTGGCTTTCTGCTCGCGAAACTTTTTTCGGTCTAATTCGTGTGATTCTTGGAATTGAGGAATCTCGCCAGGCTTGGCTGGAAGCGGAGGGTTTTTAAAATACGGATGTTCAAGAGCGTCGATGGCGTTGACGCGCTTGCGCCAATCAAGCTTCAGCAGCTCCCCTAACAGAGAGATGAACGAAGGTCCCTGCTCTCGAAAGGTTTGCGAGAGGGTGCTCTTTCGTTGTGGAAAGGATTTGACTCCCTCACAGCCGAGTAAAGTACTCCATCCAGGCATGTTTTCTTCGTTCGGTGATCCCATTAGATCGAAGATTAAATGTATCTGGTTGAGGTCGGTATTTCCTTGCAGGATGGGTCTCCCTTTGAACATCTCTCCAAAGACACAACCCACACCCCACATGTCTATAGCTGAAGTATATTTGCGCAATGTAAGAAGTAGTTCGGGAGGTCTGTACCAGCGAGTGACCACAAGCGTAGTATAGTCTCTCGTAGCTTCGCCACCGCCCTTTCCTCTTTGCGGCGGAGGATCGTCGTAAGGTCTAGCCAGACCGAAATCGGCAATCTGAAGTACGCCGTGATTGTTGATGAGGAGATTGGCAGCCTTCATATCGCGATGCAGTATTTTGCTCGTGTGCAAGTAAGCGACTCCCTCGAGCAACTGTATCATGTAGCATTTGATCTGAGGCTCGGTGAACTGTACTGAAGGGTTTTCGAGGAGGCCGGACAAGTCATGATCCATATACGGGGTGACCATGTACATTATCGCTTTTTTCCGCCCTTCTCCTTTTATTCGCTCAATAGCCATCTCTTCCAGCTTCAAGATATTGGGATGAGACAGCATCTTCAGTAGCTTTATCTCTCGGATCGCAGTGATTGGAAAACCATCCTTCTCGTTGTGCATCAGAATCTTTTTCATTGCCACAATCTGTCCGGTGACGCGCGATTCGGCTTTGTGTACTTCTCCGAAGGTTCCCTCTCCAAGCTTGGACATCATGATATAATTCGAGATTTTGGAGCAGCCATGGAACTTGGGCTTTTTCCCGTCTGGTCCTACTTCCAACGATGCTTGACCAGCGGTCCTTTTACTGGCTGTGGGATTTCCGTTTGGAGTCTGCCCACCAAAGTGGCTTGGTGTGGAGGCCATGAATGTTGTAGAGGCTCGGTGACGGATTGGTAAGTGGGGATTATGTACGGTAGAGGACCGAGTCGACCAGTATTTTGCATCTGATATTCCCAGGTGGCAGCTGGCTTTCAGTGTTGCAACGATGCTGGGTGTGACATTGACCCAGACTGGCACGTAGTATTACGTGTCAACCTCCTGGATGCTTGCGAGGATAGAAGCAGATCACCCAACAGCTCAGATGGGATCTTCCTTGCAGGGTACTCAACAATAGCCGTAGGTTGCCTGCATTACGCAGAGTTTGTTCGAAGCTTGCGTTTGTGGGAGACAGGGGCAACGTCCATGTCAGAACGATGCAGCGCTGACGTTTAGTAAGGCAAGAAGATATCAGTCTTTGAGTTGTACTTGTGAATTAAACGGTAGTTTTCAAGAACTAATAGGACACCCTGACAAGTAAATGTCTGGACGTGAATGACTGTCAAGCAGTATAGACAATCTGATCTTTCTTCGGAGCTCTTCGAGCTAGCGCGGCAAAGGATAATCACCTTTAAGCGCGTTGGCGCGCTTAAGCAACTGAATAGTCACTAATTAGTAATTACAAGTCCTTGAAAAAGCAAATAAGTGCGTTCATCATTTCGTGGTCAAGGGTTGTTATTTACAGCAGACAATGGCTGGCAATTCGGGAGGTCATGGGAATCATCCAATCCACATGCATCCAGTGCGTCACCTCACCTTCGAGAGCGTGCTTCTCGAATACTAGTGAACTTGTATGCCTAGCTGACAAAATTTGCGTCACCAGGTCCGGCCTTTATACCGATATTCTGCAACCTTGTTAGGCGCCTCGATGTGGTTCTTCGTAGGCTCTACACGCTTCCGGAGAAATTGAGGTCTGCTGACTTTCGTGTAGCTTATGTACCGTGCAAAGAAAGATGGGCCAGTACTGTTAGGATGGAGGCACCCGTGGGATCATTGAAGTGTTGGCTTGTAGTTTTGAGATTTTGCGAGTCGTGCACTAGGTGGCGGCCTGGCTGCAAGTCGATGGAAGGCTTGCCAACAGCTCTTCACCATCAGTTTTGTGTGGGTAGGCTATCGGGGTAGGCCACTCGGCAGCCCGATCTTTCAGAGCAGCTGTAAGCGTGGAGAACTCTATACAAGAAAGTTCCCCACTGTTACATTCTCGAGCGATCTCACAGTGGCCCTATATACATTTCGTGTTTTGTAGGGGTGATTAATGAGCACAGTCATATGAAACATAAACCGCCCATTGCATATATTTTGCATGGTGCTATGGCTTTTCAAACAGATAATGTGATACCCCCCAAGTATCCCCACCCTCATACGCAAAGAGCTCAGCGCAGGCCATATAAAAGATCTGCCATCTGTAAAACCACATAGCAGCACTGTTCTTCCCATATGTATCTTCCAGGTGAGGCCAGATCTCTTGCTTGCTGTCGTTCATTTTTGACAGCCAATCCTAGACACAGCATGAGCTAGACGTTGAGTATGGAAGGCCGCTCGACAATGGCTCACCTCGCAGGTCCTAGCATAATGCTTCCCGCTCACCCACCATTGCTCCTGCAATTTAAGGTCCCCTTGAAAGTAGTGTAGCAGGTCCGCACTGGGCATTGTGCCCCCAGTAAAAAAGTGCGTGCTCATCCACCCTTCTTCGAAATCGTAGGGTGTTGTTTTATGAGCGAATATGTGAATGAAAAGCTTCCCACCTGGCCTCAAGGCGCGCGATACCTTCGCCATTAGAAGCTGATAATTCTTCATATGTTCGAACAGCTCAATAGATATCACACGGTCAAAAGCATCTTCATCGAATTCGTAATCCACGACATCTCCAGTGAGTACCTTGATGTTTGAAAGTCCTTTTGACTCGGCCTGATCGTCAATGTATGCTTTCTGGGTCCTTGAATTGGAAAATGCTGTGATCCTGGCGTTTGGGAATATCTCGGCGAAGAAGAGTGCTCCAGATCCCCAACCACAACTTTGTTGGCCCTGTCAGCGATTGCTGCATGATCACGGGCAGAGTTTCCGCACCCCAAATCTAAGACTTTCATCCCATCGGCCAGTTCCGCTTTTTCTATATACGTCTCCAGCATCTCCACCTCGGCGTGTCCTAGTGTCTCTTTCCCAGTGGGGTAGAGACAGCAGCTATACTTCATTCGCGGCCCCAGGCAGGCCCTCAAAACCCCTGTACCGACCTCGTAATGCTGAGAATTAGCGGTGGCAGTTTCAATTGCCATTGGTCGTGTTCGTAGCGCCTTCACGTATTTCATCTTCGCCTGATATGCTTCGTCAAGCGATGTTGTCTGGATAGCATGAATGCGGTCTCGTAGCTGTCGTCGAATTCCATATCGAATGACTGCTTGGGGCAGCCAGCCTCCGTCTAGAACCCAGTCTGTTTCCTTCTCAGCCGCGTTCGCATGGGGACCGCTGCTCTCCACAAACATACCGTGATTCATATTGCTCGAATCGTTATTTTTGAGCTCACACTTACTTTGATATATATTGCAGAGAAGAACAGTTTGCATGAGCTAATTCGAAATTGGAGGGAATAGAGAATTTCTATAAGTAGAACAGTTCCGAGTAAGACTTGTTGATCTAAATCTGGTGCTTCGTCTACAATCTACAAGCTCGTACCCGTACTCGTACCCATATTAGTGTCCTATCTTACATGTCATGAACGCCTTGGTTTAGAATAAAGCATGGGTATTGTTTATTTATCTACATCCGCATCTCTTGCAAAAGACGTTTGTATTCCTTTTGCTTCTTGCGGCGATGAGGCCATAGCGTATCATGCAGCTCCCCAAGGAGCCGTGCCAACCATAGGAACACTCGCCTCTCAGCTATCCATGCGCATGCCAGACCGCCTAGTGCTAAGACGAGCACGAAGACCTTGAAATCAACAGACATGTCTGTCAATTGCATAAGGTTGGCAAGCCAGGCTCCGGGGTCGAACAGCATGTAAGCAGAAAACAGGGAAGTCGCGACAATGGTCACCACGAAGGGCACTGGGCAACCTTATCAGTGTGTCTCTCTCTGCAAATGACCGCGAACGAGCTTACGATTGTTTCGCATTGATTGCCTGAACGGCGGGCCAACACTGAGCACAATCCCGGAGAATATGTACTGGAAACAGGATATCAAGAAGAGAGTCGTGTTTTCCGAATTCTTTATATTGGACTTTTGGGTGTCCAGCTGTGGAGGAATGAACCTTTGTAATGGTTAGCGAAAGCTATTTGCCTTCAGGACTCCTGATTACCAACCATGTCTGCCGTTGTACGAATTCGAAGCCAACCAACTGGATAATTATGCACAGCAGGACTTGACCCAACAACGGGGTGAGGACTTTTCGAGACACAAGGCTCGCAGTTGGTCGCTTGCTACACAGCGTTGGATAGGCACCAGTCCATCCCACTGTAGAATCATTAGCTAGCTGATTGGATTGTCCTCCGTAGGTACTAGACTTACTAAAGATTGCGACTGGCAGCACCAAGAGAATATCTATGAACAAGAACTAGTCTCCCATTATTCTATGACATTCAGCTCTGTAGCAAAGACAGTCATACCTGGAAATCCCCTAAGTTTGAGGCAGACGCATAGAGGAAGCTGACCGATGTGAACTGGATCGCGGAGTAGAGGCTCATATACTTGAAACAGCAAAAGCTCGTCACAAGAGCTGCACGTCCTTCACTATTCCGTGGATTAGCATAGTCGAAGGGGCTCGCAGCTAATGGAATTGTCGGTTACCGGATGACCTCAGGGACGCAAGATATATCGAAGACCCGGCTTGTGAATGGCGCTGCTACAGAGGCTTCCGCCTCAGAGAGAGATATGCCGACATCCGCGGCCTTTAGAGCTCCGCAGTCGTTCGCCCCATCACCGCAGAAACCGCAACAATAGTCTAAACTCTGCAGCTTCTCCACCAATTCGTGCTTTTCATCTGGCGACATTCGTGCGAAGACTTGACCACGGGCAAGCATCTGTTCCCTTTAGTACTCTGCTCAGACATGTGATCAGAGATAGAGAAAGAGATTACCCTCTTCAGTACGTCTTCGCTACCAAACTCAATAATCCATCTAAAGACATCTCCACTCACAGCGAGTGAGTAGTTTCGAAGGTTGGAAATGTCATATGGTAATGAGGCGTCGGCTTCTGCGGGTGGTGGCAAAGGCTGCATCAATCAGCAGAGCTCGTCAATCTCCAATACATTGCTTACCATGAGTGTATTATCGTCCAATTCAAAGAGCGAGTTGTCAATGCTCTGCCATTTCAAAAGAGCTTTAGGGTCTCGGTAGTCGCCTTACTTCGGTTAGTGGTGTCATCATCCTTAAGCGGTTGGATAGCCAAACCATCCACGAAATGTGGAATGAAGCAATGAGCTGTACGATCAACCAAATTACACTCTCTGGCCACACTGATCGCTGTGAGTATGTTGTCTCCTGTACACATGACTTTTCGAATGTCGGCATCATTGAGTTCATCGATTACTCCTGTAGTGGAAGGTTTCAACTTGTTTTCAAAAATAATGAAGCCAAGGAAATCGAGGTCAGACTCAGCATCCTGGCGCCTCATCGTCTCCACCTTTGTCCAATTCAGCGCTTCGATATGCTTGGTTGCGCAGGCGATGACCCGAAAGCCCCTATGAGTGTAAAAGCTAAGCAGGTCGTCGTAATCAACAGGAACTACAGAGAGACTATTAGCACTCGTGACAGCATTTTGCATGCTCCAAAGAAACTCACAGCTATCCTGTCGACAGATGTCTGTCATGCACTCGGGTGCTCCTTTTACGTAGATGTCACCACCTGGAAAGCCAGATTGACCAACGACAACACTAGCTCGACGCAACTGTGACACAAATTCGAAGGACTTCAAAATCCCTAGCTCGATCTGTGCATTCTGCCCAAGCGGTGAGTCAGAACTTCGCAAAATCATGTTGTTAGAAGACTCACAGTCGCTGATTGCGGCATTTCATCAATGCCGTACTCCAGACCAGGGGGTGGTCTAGCTATCGATGAAGGGCTGTTTTGGCCATCTTCTTGGTCAATGACATTTGCCTTCTGTGCGAATTCTTCGAAAGACCAGCCAGTGAACTCGAACATCTTGACATCGAGAGGATCTCCTAGTAGCTCATCGTCCACAACACGCAAGGAGTGGCAAGTAGCCATTGTATACAGAGCGGCTTTATGGATCTGATAATTAACCGTGGGATCTCGTTGATAAGCAGCACCAGGCAGGAGGGTTGAGGAATCACCAAGTACGCCACTGAATCTGATGGTAGTTAGTAAAGAAACACATAGCATTACAAGAGTATGCACTACCTCATCGCTGGCCGATGGACAACTCTTACCCCTAAGACATCAAGGCCGTCTTCGGTCAGGGTTCCAGTCTTGTCAAAACAGATGACGTCGAGCTTTCCGCCTACGTTGACCCTGTTGAGGTCAGTGCATTGCCTTTGAGCTATCGGCGGGCCAAGTGGCTTGCCTTTGGGGACTTATGCAAAAGATTTGCTTCTTTTTCAATCGGGACAGAGCGAAATTGGTTCCAATGGATAAGGTAGCGGGCAGGGCAGGAGGGACAACAATCGTGATCAAGTCTAGGGCGCGAACAATGATCAAACGCCATGCAAGCTGTTCGATGTTAGCGCAAGATGCGAGCAACGCTTTTCGAAACACTCACGTTGAGCCTAACGAAGTTTACAAAGGAGGCAATGAAGCCAATCGCAGCAACACCAGCCATGACGGATATATACCGGAAGGCATCCTTGTAGAATTTGAACCCTGATGGCTTGGGAAAGAGCATTGAACGGACGAGAGCGCCTTTGGTTGTATTGAAGCCGGTCCTGACAGCGATAGCTAATGCAACGGCCTCATCGTCCTGTCCTTCTTGAGGCCGCCTCGCTCTGATGATCTTCGTCCCGCTGAAAAGGAAATGCTTGGCGACTTCAGGATTCATTGTGCTTGAACTCATACTCAACAGTTGTAGGGATCCATCGGTTGCCGGGACTTTTGAGACCGGCACAGACTCGCCTAAGATGCTTGTCAATATAGTGGCTTCTAAAGTGTGAGGATAGCAGCTGAGTACCAGTAAGCATGCTCTCATTGACGATACAGTCTCCTGCGAGCAATAGGCTATCACATGGAAATTGGGTCAAAGATGGATCGGAAACTTCGTATACATCTCCTGGCACAAGCTCGCCATTTTCCACTTGTCGCCCTGAGGAGTATCAGACTGTGCATTTCACCTGGGCATGGAATACCCACAGAACCCGTTTCGCAAGACTCTAACCTCGCACTCGAAGCGCGATATTTCGCGCAGGCGTTTCATGGTCTATCCGTCAATATATCTCCAGGAACGTGTGTTGGTTGACTTACTGATCTGGTTTCAATCAAGGTTGTCGTGATGCTGACTACTGAAATGAAGAAGATGCACACTGCGTAGTAATAATACTCGTCGAGGGACCAGAGAATCAGGCTCGCAACCTGGAAGATGTAGAAAGGGTGAAAGGCCTAAAGGATATTAGGAAGTTCCTAGGGTTTTTAGGATCATCACTCACCTCATCCACAAGTAGCTGGAGAATAGATTTCTGTTTGATGTCGATCTGGTTCTTGCCAAAAACCTGTTCCCTCCTATGGCGCTCATCACTGTCCAAGCCGGCCCTGATCAACTTTACGTCTGTCCAGTCAGGATCTTTCCAATCGCTACACAGCACAAAGTTGTCTTTCAACGGGTGAAAACAGAAGCTGATGTAACGATAGTCTAAAAACCGCAGATGTGTCATTATAGGGTCATCATCCTCATCGTAATCGAGAGGAAAGCTTTTCTTTTCCCTCAAGCCAAAGACAGTCGAAGTGACGTGGCCGTATTGGATTGTGACAATGTCTTGTACCATAAACTCGCCCCATTGGTTCTGGTCGATTTTAGCTGCTGTCTTTGATCGCCGATGCTGATATCGCTGTCTCACCTCAACGACAACCCAGTTGCACTCGCGTAACGGTTTTGGAGATCCTGTCAGACGGACTCGCCAACGAGGAAGCCAGCGAAGAATCAAGTATCCCAAGCCCAAAGAGAAAGCGCAAAAGGTCAGGTAAAGTATCAAGCCCAACGGCTTTGTGATAAACCCAGCGACAACGATGGTCAAATCCTCGGACACAACATAAATCTTCTGGCTTGACCTTGCTCCCCGTCCGAAGCCGCTCGCGTCAGTCTTGGTAGAGTCGTTACGGTGAAGAAGAGGCTCTTCGGCAGTACTTTTGGAGAAACCCGAAGATTTGCGTCTCTGGGACGATATGGTGCCTGACTCCAAATCGTACTCTACGTCTTCTCCAGGCTGCTTGCCAATGTCCGTGTCTTCGTCCTCCTCATCTATGACAGCCTGATCCACGGACCATTCAGGAGACTCATCATCCTCTTGGAAATATGTAAAACTTGCTACTGAATCTGCCCTCGATCGCCGGTGGGCAAACCCAGTCACACTCGATGGGACGCTCTCCGACATAGGTCCCGCAAACACCTGAACTCGTTAGCCTGGGTTGTCAATTGTTTCAATGCAATGTTCGAATTCGAACCTCCTCGTGAGCCATTTCGACATCGGACACAAAGCTAGCACTGTGACTGTGTTAGACCGTGTTGGGTTTGGGTAGCCTAATGACAAGTGCCTCACTTGCTGATGTTAGAGTCTCGCCGAAACAAGGACCCATTGAGGTTTCCGTTGCTCGCTGCACTGTTTTCGCAATTGATGCTTGAGCTGCTCCTATGCGTAAACGCAATAGGCCGGGGGCCTGAATCCTCCATGGTGTGATGCTAATCCAGCCCTTCTTCTATCGAATCTCAAAGACTCGTTTCTATCTTACTGTTATGGCTACCTGCATCAATGGCTAGGTAGGTCGACAGCACTCCACCGGTCTGGACAAAGATATTTGCAAAGGGATGTCATGATTGCAGCTTGCCAAATTCCTCATCTGAGCGAAATGGGTATGACATTTTCCGTACGTACTCCGCATGCAGAATGTGGGAGAGACCAGGCCTATAGGAGGTGGGAAAGAGAGCAACCGTTGGAACTCCCGGCCAAGGTCATAAAGCATGGAACAGACAAGCAAGACCGGTAGATTTTGTAGTGAATACAGCCTGGGTAACTTTAAGCACGATTAAGCTTTTCTTATCTTAGCGTCGTGTATCCGCGCTTGAAGAACCCCCCCCCGGCCCAAAAGCACAAACCACGAGCATTAAAATTTCAGTACACACCCTCTCTCTGCCTCACCTCACATGGTCATACCTACAATCAGTCACAACAAGTCAAACATGTCAGAACCTATCCGCAACAAGAAGCTTGATCTTTCAACAGCACCGTAAGTCGAATCCGTCAAAATTCAGATGTACGCTTACCACTCCAACCATGTAGTACGCCTCAGAACACTCCTGCCAACAATGCACCCATCTCCTCTCACGCTCAGCAGCCAGGTGTGGCTAGCATCAAAGAAGGTAGGCCTTACGAACCTAATCTCTCCCACATATTCCAATTCTCGGACCATTTGAATGCTGATTATTTCAACACAGAGGATCTCGACCGTGCTGCCGCCGCCTCAATCTTCGCTCAAAATCCTAAGCTTGTATCGATGATACAAGGGAAGCTTGGCACTCTGGTCGGCCGTTCTTCAGGATACGTCGAATCCCTCCCTGCTCCCGTGCGCCGCCGCGTCGCTGGTCTCAAGGGTGTACAGAAGGAGCATGCCAAGCTCGAAGGCGAATTTCAGGAAGAGGTGCTACAGCTTGAGAAAAAATACTTCGCAAAGTATACTCCACTTTATGAGAAGCGCGCTAAGATAGTCAACGGTGCTTCAGAGCCCAGCGAAAATGAAGTCAAGGCTGGTGAACAGGACGAGGAGGGAGAAGATGATGAATCGAGCAAAGAGGAGACGGCCGAAGGTCGCCAGGCCGCCGAGGACATGACTGGCATACCCGAGTTCTGGCTGTCGGCTATGAAAAACCAAGTGTCGTTAGCCGAGCTGATCACAGATCGGGATGAGGCGGTATTGAAGCTCCTAACGGACATTCGCATGGAATACCTTGAAAAGCCTGGGTTCCGTCTGAAATTTGAGTTTGCTGAAAATGATTTCTTTTCCAACAAAACCATCACCAAGACCTACTTCTACCAGGAAGAGAGTGGCTACGGGGGCGAGTTCATCTATGATCACGCTGAAGGAGATAAAATTGACTGGAAGGCTGGGAAAGACCTGACTGTGAGAGTCGAGAGCAAGAAGCAGCGGAACAAGAGTAAGTCGTCATAGGAAGTCGGTCACTGAAGGCGGCAACTCTAATCCGTCGTCAGACACCAAGCAGACTCGTATCGTGAAGAAGACCGTACCAACAGAATCTTTCTTCAATTTCTTCGATCCTCCAAAGGCTCCAGAAGCAGACGAAGATGACGCTGCTTCAGATGTTGAAGAGCGCTTGGAGCTTGACTATCAACTGGGTGAGGACATCAAGGAAAAGCTCATTCCTCGCGCGATCGACTGGTTCACTGGAGAGGCATTACAATTCGAGGAAGTTGATGAAGACCTTGAAGAAGGCGATTTCGAGGATGAAGACGATGAGGAAGACGACGATGCTAGTGAGGACCGCGATGACGAGGAAGAGTCAGACGAGGAGGTACGTAGATGTTTCATCTTTGTACTACACATGCTGACCTTGACATCAGGACGACAACTCAAAACCCAAGCAGGAGGCCGCTGAGTGCAAGCAAAGCTAGATCCTGCCCCCTTTCGTTTGGCGTCAAAGGATGGCAGGATGATGTGATGATTCTAATAAGTTCTACTTTATCGAGCAACCATGCTCCACAGTTGTTCTCGAAGATCTCTGCCGCATTTTCACGCTGCTGTCATCTTGTGCTCTTACCATCTGATATAGTGCACAGCTCTATGTGATCAATATTAGTTGGTACACTCCATGGTTCTTTTTAAGATTCTATCTCTGGCTTGAAGCACCAATACAAGCAACGTCCTGTGAGTAGACAGCTGAGTAGCACGCCAAACTAAAGTAGATCTTGATACAGGACTATAAGTTCGTGACGAGGCACAAGTCCGTCTCAACAAATTCAAGGAAATCCAGCTTTGTTCGCTCCACTTTCAGGAGCATATTTGGTGAGTCATGAGGATCATACAAATGCCGGAGTTTAGCCAGATAAAGTCATCGACATTTCAACCAGTAATGTAGCAGTAAGCGGATTTGCAACTGCGAGTAGCAAACGAAGCCCCAATATGAATTCGGCTTTAGATGCGACCGAGGGTATAGATATAGAGCCGCCGTCGACAGACCTCGCCAGGCGCGTATCCTCCAGTCTTGGTGTTTCAACATCTCCAACAGGTTTCCATACCCCATCATGGACCAAGTCTGGGTCACCTTTACGCGCAGCCACTGGAGGTTTAGCCAAGCATCTGAAACCTTTTGCTACGGAGGACATAAAGATTCTTCTGCTCGAGAATGTCAATGTGACGGGTCAAGGCTTGCTCGAAGCTCAGGGTTACCAAGTCACCCATCTGAAGTCCGCGTTGCCCGAGGATGAGTTGATAGGGAAAATACGGTGGGGTAACGCATGAGTCTCTTTGGATGCGCAAGTTTCAAACTGATCATTGCAGAGATGTTCATGTCATTGGCATACGCTCGAAGACCAAGCTTACCGCCAGAGTTCTTCGAGAGGCCAAGAATCTGATCGTCGTTGGATGCTTCTGCATAGGCACAAATCAGGTCGACACGCAATATGCTGCCGAACATGGCATTGCAGTGTTCAATTCTCCCTTCAGCAACTCTCGTAGTGTTGCTGAGCTGGTCATTGCGGAAATCATCTCCCTGGCCAGGCAGCTTGGTGATCGCTCGAATGAGTTACACAAAGGAACTTGGAACAAGGTTAGCAACGGTTGCTGGGAGATACGTGGAAAGACGTTGGGTAACGTACCAGGGCACCGCTGGATTCCTCCTATCTGACATCCGTCCTAGGCATCATAGGCTATGGACATATTGGATCCCAGCTTTCCGTGCTTGCTGAAGCGTTCGGTATGACGGTGATATATTACGATGCCGTCAATCTAATGGCCTTGGGAACTGCGAAGCAAGTACCAACTCTGGAAGCCTTGCTGCGGGCTGCTGATTTTGTGACATGCCACGTACCGGAGTTGCCAGAAACCAATAACCTCATTAGCCGCAAAGAAATGGGTGATATGAAAGATGGCAGCTATCTTATTAATGCCAGTCGTGGCAGTGTCATTGATATCCCGGCTTTGATCGATGCCATGCGCTCTGGCAAGTTAGCTGGGGCCGCCCTGGATGTTTATCCAGCGGAACCAGGAGGCAATGGGGACTATTTTACGAATGAGCTCAATTCCTGGGCTCAAGATCTTCGAAGCCTCAAGAACATAATCCTCACACCACATATAGGAGGGAGCACTGAAGAAGCCCAAAGCGCAATTGGAATTGAAGTGAGCACCGCTTTAATACGCTATGTAAATGAGGGTACTACTTTGGGTGCGGTCAATATGCCCGAAGTCTCTCTGCGGTCTTTGACTATGGATGAACCAAACCACGTGCGGGTAATATACATTCACCGTAACATACCAGGTGTTCTGCGGGGAGGTAAGACCGAGCAAAGTCGTTATTCGCTTGACATAACGCTTATGCCTTTAGTCAATGCAATTCTGGGCAATCATAACGTCGATAAACAGATGACGGACAGCAGAGGCGAGGTAGGCACAGACCGTCTTGAAACAGAGTGCATGGCTGATGGTTTCTTAGGTGGCATACTTGATGGCTGATATTAGCGGTGTCAATGTTGCGGTCATCAAAGATCTTTATCAAAGACTAGAGGGGTTGAGCTGTACGAGGCTTCGGCTATTGCTATCGCTATCAATTCCACTCTGCTGACGACATCTAGCTCGAATAATGACGCGGGTATTGTACTGAACCTGAGGTCTCCCTCTGCACTCGAATTCAGTCTTTCGTAATGCGGACGATCATACAACCATCGGAGCTTCGTCACACTTTCTTGGCCGCATAATCGAAGAGATGATTTAGGGGGTCCTAATGGCCGCCGGAACTGTACCAAGCACATGAACAGCAGAACGAACCTCGTTGTTTGCTCCAGCAGTATGCTTGCAAATGAGATGGAGAACGCTTTGGCGCTCCGGCTTTGAACATTGAGTTAATTGTTGGCAATAACGTAGATCATAGACAAATCCATAGACGCATAAAAGAGTGAATAAACGGTGCGTTATTGAGACAAATTGATAAGATTCATCACATGGCGCTGTAAGATGTTTTCGAGCAGACAACAATCTGATTATCACAAGTCGTTGGTGTTTTCAATCTCATGTGTGTAATAGGGGCTGAACCCCTGCATTACTGTGAAGTACTAGAGTGGTGGTTTGAGCCAGCCGCTTAGTGGAAAGCAACCAACCCAAATGCGGGCTTTTCTCTCACTTTTTCTATCAACCGTTAGACCTCTATCAGACACCTGAGAGCCTCCATTGCTGCTGTTGCTAGAGGCCCCGGCCATTCATAGCCTGTCAGCCACGCGGCCTCTTTCTCCACTCACCCTAATAATTACATCAATTTGGGAACGGGCGAGCGTTTCTTTTCCACACTGGCGGCCTTCAGGAGCCCCTCTCCTTGAGGTGCTATGGCACACAACTATGATGTCGGGACACGGGCATGGCAGCCCGATACTACAGAAGGATGGGTTGCCTCGGAGGTGGAGTCGAAAAACATAGAGGGCGACAAGGTCAAGCTAGTTTTTCAACTGGCTAACGGAGAGGTAAGCTTCGCGCCCATTCACGAATGGCCCATCTGGATATGGCTCACGCAGACGGAAACAGTCAAAGACAATCCAAACCACCTTGGCCGCGCTCCAAGATGATAACAATGCCTCTCTTCCTCCCCTCATGAACCCTGCCATACTCGAAGCCAGCGATGATCTTACGAACTTGTCACATCTTAATGAGCCAGCCGGCATGTCCAGACATGGTCATTCCTCAACAATGCCCAGCTAACACATTGACAGTCCTTCAAGCCATCAGATTACGGTATTCGCAAAAGGAGATATACACATATAGCGGTATTGTTCTCATCGCCACCAATCCGTTTGCTCGGGTAGATTCCCTCTATGTGCCTGGCATGGTGCAAGTTTATGCGGGCAAGCAAAGGTCTTCTCAAGCGCCTCATCTGTTCGCTATCGCCGAGGAAGCTTTTGCGTAAGATGTTCTGGTTCCAGTCGTCCAGTTTACGTACTAAACGGTTTAGGGACATGTTACGGGATAACAAGAATCAGACCATCGTTGTCTCCGGAGAATCAGGAGCAGGCAAGACCGTCAGTGCCAAGTACATAATGAGGTATTTTGCAACTCGAGAATCGCCCGACCAACCAGGGAAACGAGCCAAGGGCATTGCGGATGCAATGAGCGAAACGGAGGAACAGATTCTTGCCACTAATCCTGTCATGGAGGCCTTCGGTAATGCCAAGACCACCAGGAATGACAACTCGTCTCGGTTTGGAAAATATATCGAAATTATGTTCGACACTAAGGCAGAGATCATTGGTGCAAAAATAAGGACCTACCTACTCGAACGCTCAAGATTGGTTTTTCAGCCATTAAAGGAAAGGAACTACCATATTTTCTACCAGCTGGTGGCTGGCGCTACAGAACCGGAGCGGCAGGAGTGGGGTTTGCTTCCAGTCGAACACTTTGACTACCTCAACCAGGGCGGCGCCCCAGTCATAGAAGGCGTTGACGACAAGGCAGACTTCGATGCGACCAGGCAATCATTGACAACGATAGGGGTCAGTCAAGATAAGCAGGCTCAGATATTTGGCCTACTCAGTGCCCTGCTTCATCTTGGGAATGTCAAGATTGCAGCCACAAGGACGGACTCGGTCCTCCCTTCCACTGAGACATCGCTCCTCAAGGCTTGCCAAATCCTTGGTGTCAATGCTGGTGAATTTGCAAAATGGACCGTCAAGAAACAACTAATTACGAGAGGGGAAAGAATCATGTCAAATCTTACCCAGCAGCAAGCACTCGTCGTCCGGGATTCTGTTGCCAAGTTCATCTATTCCAGTCTATTTGATTGGTTAGTCGAAACCATCAACAATGGTCTCGCCACCGGGGAAGTTAGCAGAAGGGTCGCAACGTTCATCGGAGTCCTGGACATCTACGGATTTGAACATTTTGCTAAAAATTCTTTTGAACAATTCTGTATCAACTACGCCAACGAGAAATTACAGCAAGAGTTTAATCAGCATGTGTTCAAGCTGGAGCAAGAAGAGTATCTACGTGAGAAGATTGATTGGACTTTCATCGACTTTTCGGACAATCAGCCCTGCATTGATCTTATTGAGACCAAACTCGGAGTCCTTGCCTTGCTGGATGAAGAGTCAAGGCTACCGATGGGATCTGACGAGCAATTCGTAACGAAACTACACCACAACTTTGCGAACGAAAAATCGAAATACTATAAAAAGCCACGATTCGGCAAATCTGCCTTCACCGTATGCCATTACGCCGTTGACGTGACCTACGAATCGGATGGCTTTATTGAGAAGAACAGGGACACGGTACCAGATGAACACATGGAGGTCCTTCGCCTTTCCTCCAACGCATTCCTCGGCGAAGTCTTAGAGGCTGCTTCCATAGTCCGAGAGAAGGAATCTGCGACGGCGTCAAATGCAAAAGCCGTGTCAACTCCCAATCGAAGGGTGGGCGTCGCGGCCAATAGAAAGCCCACACTTGGAGGAATCTTCAAATCATCTCTCATTGAATTGATGCACACAATTAACTCAACGGAGGTGCACTATATTCGTTGCATCAAACCGAATGAGGGTAAAGAACCATGGAAATTCGAAGGCCCAATGGTCTTGAGCCAACTGCGAGCTTGCGGTGTGCTAGAAACTGTGAGGATCAGTTGCGCGGGGTATCCTACTCGATGGACGTACGAGGAGTTCGCAATGCGCTACTACATGCTGGTTCCCTCTCAGTCGTGGACTTCGGCTATCCGAGAGATGGCAAATGCCATTCTGAAGAAGGCACTCGGACAAGGCAGTAACAGAGGTCTTGACAAATACCAATTGGGACTTACCAAGATTTTTTTTCGTGCCGGCATGCTTGCCTTCCTCGAGAATCTACGGACAACAAAGCTCAACGAATGTGCCGTTATGATACAAAAGAATTTGCGCTGCAAATACTACAGAAGGAAGTACCTCGAGGCTCGAAAGTCTATTCTCCTTCTTCAGGCATGGACCCGAGGGTACCAAGCTCGTCAACGTGCGGAAGAAGTGCGCCAAATCAGAGCTGCGACAAGTATACAGAAAGTGTGGCGTGGCCACAAGGACAAAAAGCGGTTCAATGAAATACGTGGTAATATCATCATGCTCCAAGGAATGACCAAGGGATATCTTTGCAGGAGATATATCATGGAGACAAGAGTTGGCAATGCGGCTGTCACAATACAACGTGCATGGCGGACACGGCGACAATTGCGCTCGTGGAGGCAATATCGCAAGAAGGTTGTCATCATCCAAAGTCTATGGCGCGGCAAGCAGGCACGAGGGGGCTATAGAAAACTACGAGAGGAAGCTAGAGATCTCAAGCAGATATCGTACAAGCTGGAGAACAAGGTTGTCGAATTGACTCAGTCTTTGGGTGCTATGAAGCGCGAGAACAAGGCTTTGATAGCTCAAGTGGAAGGCTACGAGAATCAACTAAAGTCATGGAAGACACGACACAACACTCTCGAAAGCCGCTCGAAGGAGCTCCAAGTCGAGGCCAACCAAGCCGGCATCACGGCCGCTCGCCTGAATGCAATGGAAGAAGAGATGAAGAGATTGCAGCAAACATATGACGATTCAGCTGCGAATACAAAACGTTTGCAAGAAGAGGGGAAGAAGCTTCGAGAGTCGCTCCGGACCACCAACATGGAATTAGGAAATGCGAAGAAAGCTGGGAGTGACCACGAAAATGAAAAGATGTCGTTACGTCAACAGCTGGCCGACCTCCAAGACCAATTGGATCTTGCTAAGCGCGCCATCCCTATAAATGGCGAATTGACCAACGGACATGTCCCACAGCCTCAAATCAATGGCCTCATCAACCTCGTGTCTTCGAAGAAACCGAAGCGCAGGAGCGCTGGTGCGGAAAGGGCGGAGCCAGACCGTTTCAGCTCCGCTTATCATCCGCGTCCAAGCTCTATGGCCATCATGGGCACCAATGCCCACCGTGAGAACCTTTCCGGATCGAACTTCAGTCCTGTCCTAGACAACGTCGAATTTGAATTGGAGAATCTACTTTCAGATGAAGACGGGTTGAACGAGGAAGTCACCATGGGCCTGATCAAGAACTTGAAAATTCCGGCACCAAGCACAACACCTTCACCCACTGATAAAGAGGTCTTGTTCCCCGCCTACTTGATCAACCTAGTTACCTCTGAGATGTGGAATAATGGATTTGTCAAAGAGTCAGAACGATTCCTTGCTAACGTGATGCAATCTGTGCAGCAAGAGGTCATGCAACATGAAGGTGACGATGCTATCAACCCTGGCGCTTTCTGGCTCTCCAACGTTCACGAGATGCTCTCTTTTGTGTTTCTTGCAGAGGATTGGTACGAAGCGCAGAAGACCGACAACTACGAGTACGATCGGCTCCTAGAAATTGTGAAGCACGACTTGGAAAGTCTAGAATTCAACATCTATCATACCTGGATGAAAGTGCTCAAGAAAAAGCTGCAAAAGATGATAGTACCAGCAATCATCGAGTCGCAGTCTCTCCCGGGATTTGTCACGAGTGAGAGTAATAGATTTCTCGGCAAGCTCCTGCAATCCAACAATACGCCAGCATACAGTATGGACAACCTCTTGAGTCTACTGAACAACGCTTTCAAGGCTATGAAGGCCTACTACTTGGAGGATTCAATCA